ATATTTATTGTTTCTTATAACAATGTTGTTTGTTGTTGTTATGTGCCGTCGAGGCGGACCGGACTCATAACGACCCCTCCTTGGGTTTCCGAGGTGGTATCACTACGGAAGTAGATTGCCCCATTTTCCTTCTGAGGAGTGCTGGTGGGTTTGAACCGCCAGCCTTCTGGTTAGCAGTCAAGTGCCTTAGGCACTATGCTACCAGAGCTTCCAATAGCAACAAAAAATGGAACAAATATTTATGTAAGAATTTCTGTAGGACACGTTCTTGGAAGCTGAATTTCTGTGTCAAAAATTTAAGCACATTTTAAATGTTCCTTGTTATTACTGTTATACTGTCAAATTGATTCTCACTCATAGCAACTTTGTAGGACAGAGTGGAACTGCATACAAAGGATGTCATTTCTGTTATGTTAATAAATAGATGAAAAATCTTTGTCACATTGATTTCAATTTACCTTCCTTTAATCATCAGGAAAAGTCCCTGGGTGGTACAAATGGTTTGCCCTGGACTACTATGTGGTATGCATCCACCCAACAGCATCTTGGAGGAAAAGCCTGGTGATCTGCTTCTGTAAAGATTACAACCAACAAAACCCTAGGAGTTCTACTCTGTAACACATGGGGGTCACCAGGAGTCAGAACTGACTTGACAGCAATGAGTAATCATTAGGAGGAGTATTTCATTTGTTTATTAATCAATGTTTTTACTTTTTAATACTAAGCACCCAGAGAATGTTTGTTGAATGAATGAAAAACTATGCTGTGAAGAATAAATGAGATAATGTATATAGTGATAATGAGCTCTTGTGGCCTAGTGCCTAAGGCATTTGACTGCTAACCAGAAGGCTGGTGGTTCAAACCCACCAGCCACTCCTTGGAAGGAAGATTGGGCAATCTACTTCTGTAGTGAAACTGCCTCAGAAACCCAAGGTGGGGTCGTTAAGAGTTGGATCCGACTGGACAGCAGTGAATTTGGGTTTTGTTTTTGGTGTATCTAAAGTACTTAATCCATCATTAGTGCTCAATACAAATTCACTAAAAAACTCACTGCCATCGAGTGCCTTCCGACTCATACTGACCCCTTTAGGGATTTTGAGGCGGTAAATCTTCACCAAAGCAGATTGCCCAGCCTGCCTTTCACGGGAATGGCTAGTGGGTTTGAGCCGACAACCTTCTGGTTGTCTAATGCCTTAGGCACTATGCCACCAGAGCTCCTTCAATACAAATTAGTTGAATCTAAATCTGGAAGCAGGTGGTGAGAGCTATAATGTCCTTGATTTTTCCCTCCAGGATCACCCACGATGGTTGCTCTGAACTCGAGGATTCCAAGAGATCTGACTTTTTGGTCTTCTTTTTGTGTGATTTAGGGTAAAATACTTAACTCCTCTGACCTCAGTTTCTCAGCGTGAACAATATCTTCAAGTTACACCATGCCTATTATGCATAATTATTAGGAGAAAAACAGGTTAATTTACATTAACCATACAGTCATGTATTACTTGAGTAATTAAAACAAGTAAGTTTAAAAATTAAACGTGAACATTATAAGAATAGAGGGAAAATAAACCTATAGCGATATGGACTAAAAAAAGAACTTGGCTGCCTTTTTGGTGACCTTAAATTTCCTTTTAAAATATGTAACTTCATACTTGGTACAGCAACTCATCTTTTGTTTCAGCAATTCTCTAGCGCCCTCTACTGTCCAGTTGGTCTCATTTTAGTGCGGTTCTGCTTTTTGTGGCCAGTAGCCTAATGCCTAAAAGGCACTTGACTGCTAAACGGAAGGCTGGGGATTCAAACTCACCAACCACTCCTTGAAAGGAAAGTTGCGCAATCTACTACTGTAGTGATACTGCCTTGGAAACCTAAGGAGGGGTCGCTATGAGTCGTGTCCGACTCAACGACACATAACAGCAACCTGACTTGAGTTACCTTCTCAGAGAGCGGTGCTCTATTCCTGGTTGAATGAGGTGTGGGGAGAAAGAAAAGCAGAAAATGAGACTGGAATCAGATTGTGCAGGGCCTGGAAGGTCAGTCAAAATAGTGTGAGCTCCAACCCAAAGGTCCAGGCTTACAACTTGGGGCATGTATACTGAGGAGTTCCAAATGTGATGAGGGATGTAAGAAACCACAGGAAAATGTGGCATATTACTTGGAATGTGAATTTTACTGAAAAGGGGCAATCTTGTGTTATCCTGTGAAAGACATATGACATTGAATGTAAAATCGTATGAATTTAAAAAAACAAAACTAGATTTCCAAAGATATGTTCCAGCTTCAGCAAGCTGCTTCTCAATAAGGAAATTGTTGGGAGTAGTGATTGGGGGATAGTGTAGTGCCGGAGCTATGTGAGAAGTGTTGCTATAGGAGATTAGAAACTATAGACTGAGCTCCATCAAAGTCTCTACACTAGGTTTGGATGAGATTGAAAGATGAATAAGTCTTTGGAGAGCTTTCAGTCTAGTCTTTTTTGAACTGACAGTTTTGAACAGGAGAACAAAACAAAAAAAAATAGGTGAAATTCCTGTCCCTTACTCATATCCCTGACATGTTCCTCTTTTGTGTCATCCATTCTTTTATTTAAAGAAACACTTATTGCATACCAACTCCATCACTTACTGTATGACCTTAGACAAGTCACTTAACTTTTCTCTACTTCCATTTCCCCATCTGCAGAATGGAGATAATAATAACATCTACCTCCTAGTGGGGAGCCCTGGTAGCATAGTGCCTAAGGCACTTGACTGCTAACCAGAAGGCTGGTGGTTGAAATCCACCTGCCACTCCTCGGGGAAGGAAGATGGGGCAATCTACTTCCGTAGCGATACTACCTTGGAAACCCAAGGAGGGGTCACTATGAGTCGGGTCCGACTCGACGGCAAACAACAACAATAACCCCTTAGTGTCACTGTGAAAATTAGTTAATTTGTATTAAACTCTTATAATAGAGTCTGGCAAAAAGTTCAGTGCCGTTTAAGCATTACCTATGATACCATTATTTATTATCACTACTATTATACAACCTCTACTACAGTGTTCCACTCATCATCTCCCACAACCATTCTTTCCTTAGGGCTCCCATGCTGGGGGCACGGGTAGGTCTGGGAAGAATATAGAGATGAGTCAGAATTTCCATTGCACTTGTCTAGGCTTCTAATTATTGGTTTGTTTAACTATGCCTGGCACATAATAGGTGCCCAAAACTGTTTGCTGAACAAATGAATGAATGAATATACTTATACAAAACCGTAAGTTCTTTGAATGCAGGGATCATACTTCCTAGCTGTTGTATTCCTAGAACCAAACATCTAGTTACTAAAAAAAAAAAAAAAAAAATGCCTAGGAGTTGATTAGGATGACTCATAGTGACCTCTCCTTGGGTTTCTGAGGCAAGAAGATTGCCCAGTCTTCTTTCCAAGGAGGGAGTGGTAGGTTTGAACCGTCAGTGTTTTGGTTAGCATTTAAGTGCCTTAGGCACTATGCCACCAGAGCCCCTATGCACCTAGACAGGCAAACATTAGGCTTTTAGGGATTACCTAACTGATGAATGAATGGATGGATAAATGGATAAATGACTTCTCTGAGCAGCACCATACACTAAAGTCAAGTCAATGTTCACAGAACACACAGGCCAGACTCCTGCCTCAGGACCTTTTCACTAACTTATGTTTGCCTGCCAAATCCACCTGCCACTCCTCGGGGAAGGAAGATGGGGCAATCTACTTCCGTAGCGATACTACCTTGGAAACCCAAGGAGGGGTTGTATAATAGTAGTGATAATAAATAATGGTATCACAGGAAATCACTAAGGTCACAATGCGGGCACTTTTTAAATGTTGAAGAAACACTGTCACCGTCTTTAGTAATCGGGTTAGCAGAGGAAGTGGGTTAACCGCCAGACTTTTACAGCGCGAGGACTGATGGGAAGCTCAGGTTCCTATGCTCGATCTCCAGTAATCCCCGGGAAAGCGCAGACGTCGCGACAGGGCCTTCCTAAGGCCCGCCCTCCCGTCGGCTCACGTGACTGTGGGGCGCGTGTAGGGCAGGGCTGGGGCTGCGCGGCTTGGTAACCCTACTGGTAATCAGCCTACTGGGTAAACAGCAGCGATGGCCGGAGTAGTGGACTTCCAGGACGAAGAGCAGGTGAAGTCCTTTCTGGAGAACATGGAGGTGGAATGCAATTACCAGTGCTACCGCGAAAAGGACCCAAACGGTGAGCGCCGCCAGCGCGGCCTGGAGCCACAGGGGGACACGTGGGGGAAGGGGAGGAGCAGGGGGAGTGTCACGTGAGGCTACCTGGAGGACCGAATCTGGAACGGGCCACCGGATGGGCAGAACACTTAGGGGCTGGGTCTGTGGAATACTCACGTTCCTGTGGGGGCGGGGGAGGGGAAAGGAGGGGACTGTTGGATTCCAAGAGGACTTTCGAGGTATGCAGAAGGGTCAGTGTCCTGCTGTGACCTGGCCTGGAGGCGAGAAGAAAGAAAAAATGTACTTGGGGTATTTGGAGCAGGAGGGATGGAGCTACATCACTGAGCAGATAAAAATTCCTGTCCTCATTGAGCTTACATTATAGTGTGAGGAATCAGACAATAAATATAAGGAAATAAATGAAACTTTGTTGCAAAATGGTAAGTGCAGTGGGAAAAAGAACAGGGCTGAGAGGATCAGGGGTTTGTTGTTGTTGTTATGTGCCGTCGAGTCCGACCCGACTCATAGCGACCCCTCCTTGGGTTTCCGAGGCAGTATCACTACGGAAGTAGATTGCCCCATCTTCCTTCCGAGGAGTGGCTGGTGGGTTTGAACCGCCAGCCTTCTGGTTAGCAGTCAAGTGCCTTAGCCACTATGCTACCAGAGCTCCCGATCAGGGGTTTAGGAGTGCAATTTAAAATTCCATGGTTGGGGAATCACTGAGAAAGTAGCATTTGAACAAAGCTTGGAGAAGGTAAGAGAATGAACCATGCAGATGTTTGGCAGGCAAACATAAGTTAGTGAAAAGGTCCTGAGGCAGGAGTCTGGCCTGTGTGTTCTGTGAACATTGACTTGACTTTAGTGTATGGTGCTGCTCAGAGAAGGCCAGCCAGAGTTAGGGGCAGATTTAACTGCTAACCAGAAGGCTGGCGGTTCAAACCCACCAGCCACTCCTTGGAAGGAAGGTTGGGCAATCTACTTCTGTAGTGATGACTGCCTCGGAAACCCAAGGAAGGGTCGCTATGAGTCAGATCTGACTTGACAGCAGTGAGTAGTAGTAATAAGAAGGGTAAGCATGGGCTTACTTGTGTTTACCAATCTGTTGTGAACAATGAAACTGCTTACTACAGATTAGTAAGTACACAAGTAAGACTATGTTGGGTACTCCATCCATATCAGGGATTATAAATTTGAAGAGACTTTGATTCTGTGGGACAGTGCTTAAGAGAGAGACAGATAAGAACCATACCCAGAAGCAGAATCTTTGATGTGGTAAGACATGTGAAATTGTTAACTGCAGACTAGTAAATAAGCATAAGTAAACCTGTGCTTACTTTGCTTATTGGATAATCTGATACTGCCCAGAGCAGCCAGTATTTTAGGATGGTTTTCTTCCTTAAAAACAAAACAAAAAACCACCAAACTCACTGCTGTGGAGTTGGATCCGACTCATAGCGACCCCTCCTTGGGTTTCTGAGGCAGTATCACTACGGAAGTAGATTGCCCCATCTTCTTTCTGAGGAGTGGCTGGTGGGCTTGAACTGCCAGCCTTCTGGTTAGCAGTCAAATGCCCAGTTTTCTTCCTACTTTATTAGAATAACAATAATTATAAAAATAATGGTATTTGGCCCTACCTTTTAATAGCTTGTGGTCTAGTTTCCAGAATAAGAGGTAGCAATTTTCTGAAACTAACCAACTCACAGAGTGCTCTTCAGTATGATGGCTTAAAAAGGTGGTTCTTTGAGAGTTAGTCCATGTTCCTAGACCCAGCCCCTAATGTAGAAGCATTCAGAGGAGTCAGATACTGAGGAGTGGAGTGGTTGGGGAAGGTCTGGAGGGGCAGATAAGTGTTGGTTAAAGAGGAGATGGTGGGAGAAGGAAATGCTATCTTTTGGGACATTGAAGACAGGATGTAGTTTGAGTTAAGTTTGAAGAGGGACCCTGGAATCACAATATGCCAGGCCTTAAATGCCAGGGTAAGAAATTTAGGTTTATTCTGTAGGCCCTGGGGAGCCATACATGTTGTTGAAGGACAGTGTTGTTGTTGTTCCTAATAGTGTGCTGTGGAGAGCAGTGGAGGGAGGAAGGTGAAGATACAAGGAGGACTGGCTGAGGGCTGTTTAGAAGGAGCACCTGACAGGAAGCTGTAGTTACTATAGCTACTGATAGTTTGCTTGAAAGTCACCATAATTTCTCACTTCCGTAACTACAATAGCTTTCTAACTGGTCTGTGTTTCCAACCTCACTACCTTACAATCTGTTTTCTACTTGCAGACAGTAATGTTTTAATTTTATTATGTTAAATGTTTGTTAGATTTTTCAATAACACATTTCTTGTTACCAGAGTCAAAGTGTATTCTCACACACACTTAATTTCCTCCATACTCATCCAGACATACTTAAACATATGTACCTGCCTTTGAAAGATACAAACCAATACATCACTGCTCTGCCTAAAACACTCCAGTGGTTTCCCATCACACTTGGAATAAATCCTGACTCCTCCCTGTGTTCCTAGAGAACACCACTATATTATACCTTGTTTTTGTTGTTAGGTGCTATTGAGTCGATTCCAACTCATAGAGATCCTGTGTACAACAGAACGAAGTACTGCCTGGTCCTGTGCCATCTTCACAGTCGCTGCTTTGTTTGAGCCCATTGTTGTAGCTGTCTGTTAGTCCATCTTGTTGTTTCTCTTTTTCACTGATCCTCCATATTACCAAGCATGATGTCTTTCTCCAGGGACTGGTCCCTCGTGATGAAATGTTAAAAGTACATGAGATGAGGTTTTGCCATCCTCACTTCTAAGGAGCTGTATTTGGTCCAAGACACATTTGTTCATTCTTCTGGCAGTCCATAGTCCATTCAGCATTCTTCACCAACACCATAATTCACAAGCATCAATTCTTCTTCAGTCTCCCGTATTCATTGTCCAGCTTTCACATGCAGATGAGGTAATTGAAGATATTACAGTGTGGGTCAGGCACATCTTAGTCCTCAAAGTGACGTTTTTGTTTTTTAGCACTTTAAAAAGTTCTTTTGCAGTAGATTTGCCCAATGCAATACATTGTTTGATTTCTTGACTGCTGCTTCCATGGGTGTTGATTGTAGATCCAAGTAAAGTGAAATCGTACTGTATTTGTGCCAAATTTATCTCCTCTTTTGGGTCATTGTGTTTGGTGATTAAGTTTGTGTGTCAACTTGGCTGGGCCTGGTTGAGTGGCTGGGCAGCTGGTGCTAGTTATTCCCCATGATGAGACGGGCGGTGAACTCCATGGTGGGACGTAGGACAAGCAGCTGAGTAGCTGCTTTAGGGATGTGGTCTGCATCCTGTATGTACAAAACAACTTTGGGAATAGTCTCTAGTTTTTAGCATGCCTGAACCCTGCACGTACCTTTGTCATCGTTCAGCAGCCTCCCATGCTCTGCCAACCTTGGGACTTTCAATGGACTTGAATTAGTGGCCTACCATGTGGTTTGGTAACATTGGGACGGTGCCATTTTATTTGTCGACCTTGGGCTTGATAGCCTCAGCAGCCAGTAGCTGCCTGAGTGAAGAGCTGCCTCTAGCTTCAGTGGGCCAGGAGCAAGAGGCAGAGCTGAAGCCCAAGGTCAAGGGGCTTTCACCCAGCCCCTAGAGTTTGGCACTTTGAACTCGGACTTCTGGCCTCATGAACTCTCTGAGAATAAACTCCTGTTTGTTCAAGCCATCCCATTTGTGGTATATTCCTGTCAGAGTGGCACTGTTGTTGTTGTGTGCCGTTGAGTAGGCCTCGACTCATAGCAACCGCTCCTTGGGTTGCCTAGGCAGCATCACTACGGAAGTAGATTTCTCAACCTTCCTTCCGAGGAGTGGCTGGTGGGTTTGAACTGCCAGCCTTCTGGTTAGCAGTTAAGTGCCTTAGGCAGAGTGGCACTAAGTAACCAAAACATTGTGTTTACTGCTTCCTGTGCCTGGAACATCCTGCCCCCTCCCTGAGTCAGTGTTTTTAAAAAGCAAGAACTTTCTCTTCATTCAGATGTCAGCTCAGGCACCATGCCCTTGGTGAGGCCCTGATTACCCAATCTGTATTAGTCATTCCCCCAGCATGTACAGCAAAGTCATTATTTTGTTTTATTTCTTTCTCTTTATTTATTTATTTTTTTATGGTACTTGTTCTTTTTTCTTTTTTTAATTGTGATTTGGGTGAAATTTTGTAGAGCAAATTAATTTTGCATGCAACAATTCATATACATTTTGTTTCATGACATTGATTGCAATCCTCATAATGTAACAACTCTCTTCCTACTTTCTTCCTGTGGTTACCTTTACCCTGTAACCTTTTTCCCTATGCATTCCTGCTCTCTGAGCTATCTCCCTGTGCAAATACTACCCTTCTGATCTCCCATGGTTGATTGTTCTAAGGAGTGTACCTACTTGGTATAAATGTTCACCTTATATGCCTGTCTATTGTTTGGCTGGAAGCCATGGGAGTGAGTTCAATTCCAGGCCTGAAGGGTGACTAAGGGCCATAGTCTTGGGGGATTTCACCAGTCTCTATAGACCAGTAACGCTGGTCTTTTTTATGATTTTGAGTTTTGTTCTATATTTTTTTCCTACTCTATCTAGGATTTCCTATTTTGATCCCTTTCTGAGTGGTTGACAGTGGTAGCTGGGCACCATCTAGTTCTTCTGGTCTCGATCATGTAGGCTGAGGTTCTCATAGTCCACTAGTCCTTTGGACTAATTATTTCCATGTTGTTTCTTCATTCTTCTTTGTTTCAGATGAGGAAAGACCAATTGTTACATCTAGATGGCTGCTTGCAAACTTTTAAGACCCCAGTTACTGCTCACCAAAATAGGATGTAGAATGATGTTTTGTGTAATATAGTATGTCCGTTGAGTTTGATGTCCCCCATGACATGGTCCCAAGCCCACAGGCCCAACAGATTGCTCCCTCAGGGTGGTTGGCTGTGGCCAGGAAGTTATAACTTTGCTCCCTGTTAGCACTATTTATATGGACATTCTTACAGCAAATACAAATACATATGTAGAAATACCAGGAGCTCTGGTAGTGCAGTATCTAAGGCATCTGACTGCTAACCAGAAGGTTGTCGGTTCAAACCCACCAGCCACTCTGCAGAAGGAAGACAGGGCAGTCTACTTCTATGAAGATTTACTGCCTTGGAAACCCAGTGTTGTTGCTGTTGTTATGTGCCGTCGAGTCGGACCCGACTCATAGTGAACCCTCCTTGGGTTTCCAAGGCAGTATCACTACGGAAGTAGATTGCCCCATCTTCCTTCTGAGGAGTGGCTGGTGGGTTTGAACCGCCAGCCTTCTGGTTAGCAGTCAAGTGCCCTAGGCACTACACTACCAGAGCTCCCAAGCCAGTAGGGGTAGAAATAGCATCTGCCAAACTTATATATGGTCGTGGATATAGTCCCTTTCCACAGACATACCTGATCATTCAGCTTTCTACCCATGTATCGACCTGTAGATTAATGTTTGTTATTATGATAATCCAGTATTGTGTATGTAAAAGTGTTTATGTTTGTTGTCTGGACTTCTTGTGCACCTCTCTGTGTCTTCCTTTTCCTTAGTGTTACTGTGCTGGTCACTTGCTTTTGGTATATTGTCTTTTCCTTCAGCCAAATCAGTATGTATCTATTACCTAGCTAGCAATTTTGCCTCCCCTCTAATCCCTGGTAACCAACAAAGTAAGTTTCCTTCAATGTGTAACCTTTCCTTGACTTTTGTAGTAGTAGACTCATAATATTTGTCTTTCTTTGACTGACTTACTTCACTCAGCATAATGTCCTCCAAATTCATCCACATATGAGGTGTTTTGTGGAATTCTACATTATTCTTTATTGTTGCATAGTATTCCATTGTTGTATTTACCACAGTTGGGTTATCCTTTCATCTGTTGATGGTCACTTAGGTTGTTTCCATCTCTTTGCTATTGTGAATAGTTCTGCAGTGAATATGGATGTGTATATATCTTTTCATGCCCTGGCTCTTCTTTAGTGTATCTAGTAGTGGAATTGCTGGATCAAATGGTATTTCTATTTCCAACTTTTTAAGGAAGGAAGTGCTGTACTGTTTTCCAAAGTGGTTGTGCCATTTTACAGTCCCACAACAGAGATTGCACCACTCATCTGTCAGTTTGTCGTACTGTAGTGGCTTGTATGTTGCTATGGGGCTGGAAGCTGTGCCACCATTGCAAGTACCAGCAGGGTCGACTCTGGTGGACAGGTTTCAACAGAGCTTCCAGACTAAGACAGACTGGAAAGAAGGACAGGGCCATTGACTTCTGAGAAAAACTGACATTGAAAACCTCATGAACAGCATGAAACACTGTCTGATATATTACCGGAAAACTTTATGTATAGCAGTCATGGCTCAGGACTGGGCATTGTTTTGTTCTGTTGTACATAGGATTTCTGTGAGTTGGAGCTGACTCAATGTCACCTAGCAACAGAGATTGGAGAGTTCCAATCTCTCCACACTCTCACGAGCATTTGTTGTTTTCTGTCTTGAACTTTGCTATTAATGCTGGGGTGAAATGACATCTATCTCATTGTTTGGATTTGCATCTCTCCAATGGCTAGGAGCTTTGGTGTCATAGTGCCTAAGGCATTTGACTACTAACCAGAAGGTTGGCAGTTCAAACCCACCACCCACTCCATGGAAGGGAGGCTGGGCAATCTACTTCTGTAGGAGAATGCCGGGAGGAGGAGCCTGTTTCCAGCTTTTTTAGTAGCTGTTCCCTACTCTCTCGTGGGGTTCAGGTTCCCAGCCTGGCAGAGTCGTAAGGTACAGTCTTCTCAGGAGCCCCTTCTTGCTGCTAGAAAGACTAGCTTGGGGGCCTTTTTGGTTTTTCTTGTTTTATTGTTGAACTGCCGTAGGGGAAGTTCCAAAGTTTCAAGCCTGGAAGTTGGTAGGTCTTTTGGTCTGACAGGAGGCAAGCAGGACTGATGAGTGGTGAAACCCATGCTAGGGCCATCTCTCCAGTCCCTACATTGCTCAGTCTCTGGCTAAGAGGAGATGGTGCCATTTGTAGGAGTGGCTGAACACCATCTACATTCTTTGTGGTAAGATCAAATTGCCACTCCTAGGTCCTCCCTACCACCTAGCAGCAGCTCTAGAAATGAAGAACAGCTCTTGTCCTCTCTTCACAGGTTGCTATCGTCTGGTGGACTATTTGGAAGGGATCCAGAAGAATTTTGATGAGGCTGCCAAGGTGTTGAAGTTCAACTGTGAAGAGAACCAGCACAGTGAGAGTTGCTACAAACTGGGAGCTTATTATGTGACTGGGAAAGGTAAAGAGAGAATCCTGTTTTCTTTTGTCCTCGTTGTTGATGCTGCTGCTGGTATCACATCCTGGGCCTCATTCTGAGCCCTCTTCACAGGAGTCCTCACAGGAATTGGGGAAGCAGGCATACTGTAGGAAGATTTACAGACAACAGTTGAGCAGAGTGGTGTGGGAAGAGCACAGTCTTTCCAATTAGGCAGACCTGAGAGAATGCTCTTTGCAAGTGGTGGGACCTGTGAGCCAATCACTTTAACTCTGTGCCTTAGTTTTACCCTCTGTAAAATGGGAAAGTAGTACTTGCTTCCTAGGGTTGTTGATGAGGATTAAAAAGGATAATGTAGGTAAAGGTATTAGCACAAGTGCATGGCACAGAGTAGGGGTCAATAATTATTAACTCCTTTCCTTCTGTCTTTTTCTCCTCATGCCCTAATTGCAGCTATCACTGGAGTAGTATTTTAGTTATTTTTTGCTATGTAGCAAATTATCGCAAAAAATATTTGTTATACTTTCTCTGGGTCAAGAATTTGGAGCAGCTCAGCTGAGTGGTTGTAGACATCAACCAAGGCTGCAGTCATTTGAAGCCTTGACTAGGGCTGCAGGGTCCAATTCTGATAGCTTACTGACATGGCTATTAGCAAAGGCCTCGATTCTTTGCCACATGGATCCTCCATAGGCCTCCTTGAATGTCCTCATAATGTGTCAGCTGGCTTCCCCTAGAATGAGTGATCCAAGAGAAAGCAAGGTGGAATCTGCAGTGTCTTTTATGACCTACCCTTGAAACTCACACTTTTTTCATCTCTGTAGCATTCTGTTTATTAGAAGTAAGTCATTAAATTAGGCCTACGCTAAGGAGAAAGGAATTAAATTCCACCCCTTGAAGGGAGAAATACCAGAGAATTTATGGACCTATTTTAAAGCCCTCACAAGTAGAGAATATGACCTTTAATGCTGCTGCTGTTGTTGCTGTTGAGTTGATTCTGACTCATGGTGACCCCATTTGTATACAGTAGAATTGCTCTGTAGGGTTTTCAAGGCTCTGACCTTTCGGAAGCAGACTGCTGGGCCTGTTCTGTGAGGCACTCCTGGGTCGCCTCAAACCACCAGCCTTTCAGTTAGTGGTTGAATGCTTAGCTGTTGGCACCACCCAGGGGCTTCAGGGGGTTCATTGTCTTTAATAGACAGCTATTGTTTTCTTGTCACTAAATCATGAGTTTTTTGAGGATGATATGATTCATTCATCCCTTATTCCCAGTGTCCAGCAAAACCCTGGTTCAGAAAGGTACTTGGTGAAAGCTTGAGGAAGATGATGACTTATTAGTTATTAATCCTCTGGAGCTCTGTGGTCTATTTCTGCTTTCACATGAGACATGGGGTCTCCATTTTAAAGAAAAATTTAGCATCAATAGGAGTATCAGATTCCCTTGCTCAAGCAGAGGGTCAATTCTTGAACTAGTAATTCTCCTTCTAGCATCCTTTCCTGAGGAAATAACTGGAAATGCAGAAAGAGGTTACATACAAAGTTTCACCCCAGCAATATTTATCAAACTTTTGTTTTTATTATAGCTTAGAAGTCGTATCTGGTTATATAGAGTTCTATCATTAAAAAAAATTAACACCCTGTATCCCCATGGTAACAGCTTAGTTAAATTAATAGTGGCACTTCCATTAGATGGAATATTATACAGCTTATTAAAAAACTATTTCTAAAGAATTTTTGTTGGTAGGAGGAAAGCAGAGTGAATGAAGCCAAGTACAAAATTATATGTTGTATGAACTCAGCTATATAATACTATATGCAAAAAACAAAACATATTCCTAGCTATTGTCTATGGATCATTGTCTTGGTAGAGGTTTGGGTTCCTTTTGTCTGTGTTCCATATTTTATATTTTCTGCAAAGCTTTGACTTCCTTATATAATCAAAGAAAACAAAGGGTTTCTTAAATTACTTTCCCATCCCTTTTAGGCAAACTATATGATTGATAATTGTGCACTGAGTCTTAACTTTTTTCTTAAGTACAGGTATGTGTCGCTTAATGTCCATGGTATGTACTATGAAATAGGACATTACATGATTTGGATGTTGTGCAAGCACCTGTGTCCATGGGGTGCAGGGCTCCGAGCACACTGGCACAGGGGCTGCTGTGTGGCATGCAGCCCCAGTAGCTCCTGCTGTGAACGCCCCACAGGTGAGCACTTGGCAAGGTGCTACCCAGCTGTTACCACCTTTTCTGATGAGCCAGTTGCAGGGAATGTCAGCTTGCCAGTAAAAACCTGCCTGGGGAAGGGACTGTGCTGGCCAAGAGGGTTGAGGGCACCCAACCAGAGCTAGGGTCCCCAGGGTACATACCTTTCCAGGACCACACCAGACTAAACACCGAGACTGGACCTACCAAGTTGTGGGAACTGAAGGGGACCAGGGTTGGAAGTTTGGACCTGGGTCACCTTTGCTGCAGATGAGGTGGCTTTTGGGCTGCATGTAGCAGCCGGGCAGAAGTGGGGCTGTGACCTCAAGATGAAGGTCTAGCATCTTAGCACTCAGACACCTGGGAGCCCAGGCACACACACATATATGCCATCAGGCATTGCCCAAATGGACATTAAGTAACACATACCTGTACTGCTTTGCTGAGCAAACTTTAAGTGTCTGCTGTATACAGTGAAGCAGTGAATTAGAAGTAGACCATTACTGGGGAAGAATTATTTATACTAATACCTGTTACACCTGGGAGAACATCTTCAGAGAGACATGTAAAATACTGTGGGTGTTCAGTGCTAAGAGCAATCGTGGCATCAGCCAGGGGTGCTGTCATGGAAGAGGAGACATTGGAACTGATCCTTGAAGGACAGAGCAGATTGCCAGTAAAAATGTGCCTGGGGAAGGGACTATGCTGGCCAAGCGGGTTGAGGGTGTCCAACCAGAGTTTGGTGGAAATAGAAGTGAAATAGAATATGTCTCAGGCAGAAAGAAAGTAAGCAGGTGTGAAAGAACACAGAGTATTTAGAGAATAATACATAATCCTCTGTTCAGCTAGTATTCTTAAATAAGATAATTAAACCAGAATAGGCACAGAAGATGCTGTTTCTTAGCTGATCATTGCAACTCAGTCCCTTTTGGACTGTCGTTGGCAGACTTTGTTGTTAGCTGTTATTGAGTTGATTCCCCTTGTGTGCAGAGTAGAACTACTCCATGGGTTTTCAAACCTGTGACTTTTTGGAAGCAGATTGCTAGGCCTATCTCCCAAGGTACTGTTGTTGTTGTTGTTGTTGTTAGGTGCTGTCAAGTCAGCTCCGACTCACAGCAACCTTATGTACAACAGAATAAAACACTGCCCAGTCGTGTGCCATCCTCACAATCCTTGCTGTGCTTGAGCCCATCATTACAACCATTGTGTCAATCCATCTTGTTGATGGTCTTCCCTTTTCTCTGCCCTCCACTTTACCAAGCATGATACCCTTCTTCAGGAACTGGTCCCTTCTGACAACATGGCCAAAGTAGATTAGGTGAAGTCAGGCCATTCTCACTTCCAAGGAGCGTTATGGTTGTACTTCCTCCAGGAAAGATTTATTGTTCTGGCAATCCATGGCATTTCCAGTATTCTCCAATACCATAATTCAGAGGCATCAACTTTTCTTTGGTCTTTCTTATTCATTGTCTAGCTTTCACCTGCATATGAGGTGATTGAAAATACCAGGGCAGGAATGGTGGAATAGGCAGACAGCTACACAGACTCTCTTCAACACAGAAATGAGAAACCAGTTGAAACAGATATAGAAGATAATCCTGGGATCCTGAGCTATGAAGGGAAGGATAAAAAGAAGTGGATTAAATACCAACTAGTAGAAGAACCTGAATGAAAACAATGAATAAGGAGACAAACGGAGCTGCAGACTGCCGGCTGTCCTGGGCACAGCTAATTTGAATATTTACAAGTGGTGTTCTGATCTAGGCAGTAACCTGAGAATCGGCTCTACTTGCCATAGACTGCATGGGCAGCTGCACTGGTGGCTGATGATTGGAAAGGAAAACAGTAAGTAAGGAGACAAACTGAGCTGTGGACTGTCAGCTCTCCTAAGGGTGCAGCAATTTTGAATATTTGCAAGTGGCATTCCATTCTGGAGAGCAACCTAAAAATAGGCTCCACTTGCCAAGGACAGCATGAGCAACTGCAGTGGAGTCTGATGACTAGAAGAGTGCAGCATTCTCCTTGTTGCTCTTATACCCCACACCCTCTTGGTAAACAGAGGTGGGCCATCCCCTACCTCCACCCTCCTTCTGGACCAGTAGGAATTCCATCCCAGTCTCTGTGCCCCATTAAAGCCTGGGTGCTCTGTGCCACTCCCCTAATTTTGTTTTTGTTTGTTCTTATTCTTTTTTTTTTTTTTTTCCTGTTTCTTCTTCTTCTCCTCCTTTTTTTTCCTCTTCCATTTTCCTGGTTCTCTTTCTTTCTTTTTTTTCTTCTCGTCATTCTTCCTGTCCCTTGTTTTTCTTTATTATTTGTTTACTTTTGCTCTTTTATTTTTCCCACTCCCAGATATTATGGGTTTCTTTTTCCCTCTCTTTTTGTCTTTTTAAAAAATGTTTCTTCTCATTTATTGCCTTTCCTTTTTTGGCATTTGTTCTTGTTTGTTTTTGTAGTTTGTGTTTTTTGTTCTCTTGTTTTTATTTATTTTTTTATTATTATTTTTTTATTGTCTTGTGTAACTGAGTGGGAGACAGCAGCCATGTCATACAATCCAACCATACACATACTTCCTGCAGCTCCACCCAGTGAGTGAGGGCTATTACTTGCTGTTGTATCAACTGACCAATGATAGACAGTGGCCAATACCAGTCCAACTCACCTTCAACTGCTCTTCACTAACAGCTAACAGAATCTGTGTGCACACTCATTCTCTATCACACCTACCGGGAGACAGGTGCTGAGTGCCTAAGTGCTGCCAACTAGTGAATAGAAGAGCACAGTACTCTGCTCACTCAGGTGTATGAAAAAAAAAATCTTGGGTGA